AAGTGATAAGGAGAAGACCATGAAATCACAGTATCCCTTGCCAAACCACTTACCTACATGGAACAGATGCATTTTGCTTACCTTAAACTCTGTTAGAGTATCAGTGTTGATATCTGTATTAAGTGTGGCTAAGGCCAGTTGATTGACTTTCTAGACCAGAATTAAGAGGCATACATTGAACTTGATGTAGATTCAGGTTCAGATTAAGAGGAATATAGATTAGTTATATTAATGATTAATACTGTGCTGATCTGAAACTAATAATTGTTAAATTGGGGATTAGCTCGTAGCAGGAATGTGTGATCCTGAAGTCCTAACCCTTCCTTAACCATGGTTGAGAAATCTTTCATGTGTACTGACATTTAGTTTTGTTTCGTTTCGTGTATGTCTTTGAGTCAGTGTTGACTTCTGGCGACTGCTGGACAAGACCCTACAGTTTTCTTGGCAATGTTTGTCATTGCATGCTTCCTAAGGCTGAGAGAGAGTGACTGGCCCAAACTCACCCAGCTGGCTTTGTGCCTAAAGAGGGACTAGAACTCATGGTCTCTCGGTTTCTAGCCTGGTGCCTTTACCGCTAGACCAAACTGGCTCTGTTACTGACATTAGTGTACAAATAATATATCTGGTGATGCTGCTGTATGGAATTAGTATCCATTTCATTTCGTATTGACTATGCTTGGAAATGGAGACTGGTGAGCACTGCAGCATCATCTTAACTGCTGTCTTAACTGAACTCTTTCTTAACTTACTATGATTCAACTTCAGATACTACAAAGAAGCAGATTTTCTAGTGTGGACAATATTGTTTTAGGTTATGGTTTATCTTTTAAGCTACCTTTTAAAGGTAAGAGAATCATAAAATTGCTTGGATAAAATGGGATAATTGAATGAAAAGAACATGTAGAACTCTATGCAGATCTATGAGTATATGAAGCTTGGATGTTACAGTTTGGGGAATACAGTTATGTAGTGGGGTACAAAGGTAAACATTTACAACTTTATGATGTTTGGACTTTTAAGTTTTCAGTTGTATGAACGTTCAGTGGCTACATCAGTTTAGCTGGTAGTTGTCATAAATGAATTTGAAGTAGTTGGATGGTCACTTTGAGCTTTCTAGAAGTTGTTTATCTCTGTGTTTCCCTTAGTAGCTAGCTGGTAATACATTTGGAGAAGAAAATGATTTTGTCATTTTTATTACTCCTTTCAATTAACAACTTATTATTTCTGCTTTAAAATAGTATGTCACAGAAAAACAGCAGAACTTTTTTCTTGAGTTGATATAAGCAAAGCAGTGTACTAAATCACTGATAAATCCTAGATAGCAGATATTATTTACTTGCACACTTTTAAAAATAAAAAAATAGTTTGGTTAAAGAATGAGTAATTCAAGTTCATATTTCAAGTTGTGGAATGTAGTGGATAGCACTTCTTCCAGGCTATTCTCCTTGAGATACAATAGAATAAGTTATATTCTATTAGACGAGAGAGGGAGGGATCACCCTGCACTCAGTTGAAAAAAAGATATATTTTTGTGGTTTCAAACTGTGTTATAAAGTACATTAAAATGGAAGAACAAGGAATCCTGTTGTACCATGAAACTTTAGGTAGTCTTTCTCTATTTTGCTTCTTGGGTAAGAACTCAGAGCAAATCCAGATATGCATAAATGGTGACCCAGCACATGGCAAGCACATTTCTGTGGCAAAAATTAAAACAGAAGTTTCCTTCTGAAATTAAACAATCATTTGTACCAAAATGGTTTTGGTGGTGAGTTTTTATATGCTACTTGTACAAAATACAAGAGCTTTTTGTTGCCCATCCTACTCCAAAATGCAAGCTAGACACACATATCATATCGATTCTGCACTTTTCTGCAATTGATACCAATTAATGAACTATTTAGGAAGAAGAAGCCACCATTACTGAAAACAGGACATAGGAACAAACACATATCAATTCCAATCGGTTTTGATAGCTAGGCATTGCATGCTGTCATTCCTTTGGGCCGGTTGTTGGGGAAGATTTATCACTAGCCCATAAATAGAATCATTTATTAATTTTTTGTTTGGCATTCAGTTTATGTAGCTAAAATAAGAAAATAATCAGGAAAGAATTTTTAAGGGCATCAGCTAAATATTCTTTTCTATTTCAAGTCTTAACTTTTAGTTTCTCTTAGCCACTGTCAGAGACACTTTAAAGATTTCTTTATAGATAGATACTAATCTTGGTAGAGCACACAGTAATTAAGATCATATTCTCTATGTTCTCTGAACATTTGTTCTCAAACATTGTAAGTAACAATAGAGCATACAAGATGTATGTGTTTTGTGTCAGGTATGAAAGTCACACATGTTTGAGATCTTACTGCTTTTCCATATTAGAAGGCGGGATCCTAATTCTTGCCTGTTCATTGCACGTAATTATTTAAAAGGGAAATGCAACAGTTGAGGAGTGTATGTCTTTTGTACATCTCAACACCATGTCGTTGTTTGACTATCAATACTAAAGCAAGGATACCACAGTAAAGATAAGATGTGAGAAGCAGCCCTGAGCTTTCAGTTAAATGAAGAGTTAATGAGCAAACATTAGCATCCTATACACAATGGATCTTATTAATGCAATGGGAAATCAGTTTTTCCAGGTTAAATATAACCTGGAGGATCAGCAAAGTGTATGCTTCTGTTTAGACTTCTGTTTGTATCTTTCTGTGTTAACTCTTAACAATTCTTTTTTCCTTTATTTACATTGCACTCAAGTTTCCCTAGTACAAAAGATTTGCAGGTGCAAATATGTCCTGCCTTCATTAACTTCCCCTCCCCTTTTAAATTTATGTGATTTCAATTTTCCTTCCCTGTACTGTTAATTAGGGGATCCTCTAATCAGTACCATTATCACAGTGGTATTCATGTTTAGGAAAGCTGCTAAACAAATGCTTGCAAAATTGCTAAATGGCTAATTAATGTCTGTTAATTAAGAAAATTGCTCATGGTAACAAACCGTGCCATTGCTGGCAGCAGCTAGAAGGCGAACACTTGTTGAAATTACTAACATGGCAGGTATAGAACATCTGTTCCTCTGCTCTTCCTGAAGTGTGTGTAGCTGCTTCTCCTCATGTACTTACAAATCGTATTTGCTTTCCAGATCAATTGCAATTTTGTTTTTATTTGAGAGAACAAAATATTAGACAAGCAACATATATAACTTATAGCATGAATTTGGGTATTCGCATTTCAGACTGCACTCTAAAAAAGAAGTTCAAATTCTTGGAAGTGGATAAAGTGTTTAACCATTCTGGACTTGTAGCATTACTGAGCTAAAACCGTAAAACCTTTTTTTTCCTTTTCAAGGAAATATAGTGGCTTCCCAATCACTAGCCAAAAAAAGTTTGTTTGGATCACCGAATAGTTGTGAAGGAACATAGGCAGAAATCTTGAAAGGGCTGTGCTGTAGTTTTGCATAGATACAGGCAAACCACTCCATGTTTAAGAGGTTCTGTGCATAAACTGATCTTTGTATGGAACAGCTTTTGGGGAGTTGATCTGTGCCTGAACTGAAAAATGAATGTTTCAGGTGTTTTGCTCTGTGCAAGTAAAGAAAATGGGTTGTTTTGTTCCAAGCAGAAGAGGGTTGGGTTCAGCAGGGATGGGAGGGAATGGCAAAAAAGCCAAGAGCGTTGGCCATTGAGGGGAGGGGGGAAAGGTTCTAAGAAGTTGGGTGAGGGGCTACTATATGCCACACTGGGAGTTGCCAAGATGAGAAAAAGGGCAGTGTGGATCAGCTTTTCCTTACTTGCCCTATCTGGATTTTGTTTCATTTGAAACTCAGCATTCCATGTTTCCTTTCTGCTGAGCCATGTCTGACTTGAGGTAGTTGGAAAGAACCTCTGGAGCACAATGGGCTTGTACATCTCCATTTTGAATGTAGAGACATTATTTTAAAATGCCCCTGCTCATGTGCTCCGGTTGCAGTGGATTCCTAGATTGGGAGTTCTCTGAAGCAGAGGAAATACATTTAAACACCCTCTCTTTCTTCGTTTTTTCCTCTTGCGAGCTGCATGGCAAGTGAAAATAAAATGCTAATTTACTATGACAGGATTATGAGTGAACAAGTTGTTTACGCATTCCTCGGATATTTAATCAGATGCACTTACTGGTGATCCAATATTGTGGAAAAGTGAAGCTTTTATCAGTAGGTATTTTCTTCAGATAGAAAAGCTGTGTTGTCCAAACCTGCATCGTGATTCATACCATGAAAGCAAATTTGCTACATCTTGGGCTTACACAAAACGTCTGATTAACATACTTTGGGAAAAGCATGTTTTATTGTGGGTAGATACCAGGGCAGAGTTGGCGGACATGCTGTGTTTCTGCGATGGCATGTGTGCAGTTTCCAGTGAGTCTAGACAAGGGAATGCTTAAGGTATTTTGGAGGTATTATGTTAATTGAGTTCACAGTTTGTATTTAGTAAGGTATGGCAATAAAAATGTTTGCTCACCAATTATGTGTTGCTACACATTGTACTTATTTTAAGCTGTCCGTGAACAGTGGAGCTCCAGCATCGTGCCAAGTGACAGCACAGCAGAATATTCATGAATGGTTTCTAATCCAGATATTGCTATTACCAAAGGATCCCATTCTATCAGTTACTCAGAATTCTAAGGCAATCCTTGAAAATAAGATGTGGCTAAATAATAAACATTAGGTTATTATTTGCTGCCTGATGTCAGTGTTATTAGAGGAATTACAGTGGCATTTTCAGGAATGATGTGCAGTTATGGGGACCAAAAATAAATTGTTCGCTATTGCCCAATCCTCTTCCCTTCCCTTCCCCTCCTTTCTTTCTAGTCTAAAAGCTTTTCTGATGTGGTTAGCCATTCTTCTTCACTTAGTAATACATAGAAACAAACTATTTGTTTGGCAAGATTTATCAACTTGTTAAGCCAATTCTTTTCTTGCACATTGATATACCTGACCTGTAACCACCTTCTATCCAATCTCACAGGGACCGCCTGGCTCTCAGCCCTCGCCACACGCACAGCCTCCACCTCACAATCCCAACAGCATGATGGGACCCCACAGTCAGGTAAAACCTTGAAGGGCTCTCTGGTGATATGTGGGTGGAACCTTTTAGCATGTAGGGGTCACTCCTTCCCACTAACTTCATTATATGAGTCTCCAGCATCGTTCTAGTCGCTTTGCAGGTTTACATCCACTCAAGCAGTGGGCCCCAAATGTTTGTTTCATTCAATCTCCATTAAGACATCTGTTCTTCTGGGTAGAACTTGTTTTATTGACATTAGTTTAGAAAACAAGTTTCCATTTCACGGATGCTAATTCACATGCAAATATAATTCTTATTTTTTTTTCTGAATATGGTTTAAGAACTTGTTTTCACAACTTGTCATTGAAATATTTTAAACCCAGCCCTTCCTAAACTCATTTTCATTTAGCAAACTATGTAAAAAAATATCCAGTACAGACATTTTGTGTTAATTTTAACAGCTGAATCCAGAACTGCCAAAGTTTACGCTATATAACACACACACACACACACCAAAGACTTTGAAACAAAATACTTATTTACCAACAGTTTTTTGTTTAGATATTCGCTTCTGTATGTATTTGTCAAATTAAATTATAAGTTGCATGGAATGCAGAGTGTTTATTGTTGGTTTGGTTTGGGCTCTGCCTCAAAAATATTCAGTTAATGAAATGTTTAGTATGTGTGTGTGTAGTATATGTGAGAAACACAATAGGCTTATTTTTGAGGTGCATGTGCAAACAAGAGGGTATAATGTTGACTTGCACTTTTAACATTCGTTGCCATTCAACTATTTTTATATGCTTACAGCCTTTTATGTCACCAAGATACGCAGGAGGCCCACGGCCCCCCATTAGAATGGGAAACCAGGTACTGTATTAGCCTCTAAGTCCATATATTTTCTACAGTACTATTCAGGTTTAGACATATGTAAATGGGAGGAGAAACAAGTTTTGATAAAATGTTTACCTTTTCTAACATTAAGCATGTTTCATTACAGGAGAATTTTTGCTGGCAGAAATACAAATCCATAGATGCAAAAATCATGGGCCTTAGACTATATATATAAAAAAAGGACAGTATATAGCCAAATTCTTTATTGGGTTCATGCAAACAAGAGTATAAAAGATATATGGAAAACTGCCTTGGTCACAGAAAATATTTATACTTCCGCTTTTATTGGTGTCTTTCTTTAACAAAATAACACAACAAATAGTAGTAAAATCTGTTTTGAAATTGTTCTAAGAGACTGGAGCACAAATACAGCATTTTGTTTTGCACAGGGGCTATAAATTCATTTAGGAATAGCTTCCTGTTATTCTTCTCCAGTAACTAGTATTCAGAAGCTATTGAAAGATTTATACACCATATATTCTGGTCATTTGCACCTTTCAAAAATGTTATGGCTATAAGAACAAGCCATCTTCTAAACACGTCCTTTGCATGTTTTCAGATTTAAATATTCTTAGTTATACTGAGCATGCTGTTGTTGTTTTCCTAAGATTTATAATTTGAGCACACTTGCTACTCAGACAAATGCAAGGGAGGGGGCACTCACATGAAATACACTTGCCAGCAGTAGTTGACTTCAGAATAAAGCATTTGTATTTTGTACTGTCTGCCGTGAACGTAACATGGGGTAAACTACTACTGCTTTCTTCAGTGAGTCTGTAATAGTGAAATTAGTAACTTAGTCTTCTTTGAGAAATAGCTGCAAAAATAGATTAATATGGGTCTGTCAAATTTTTAATTGTTGATTAATCTGTTCAAATATAAATGAATCAGTTAGTAAATTGGTTACATTTAAATAAGCATCAATCCTGCCAAACCCTTCAACACAGCTGCCTCTGAGAAATAAGTAAGGAAGCATAAAAGACTGTATTTATTCAAAGGTAAAGGTACAGTTCAGTGTGCTAAAGATCTTCAGTAGAATTTTCTTTCCCACTGGCAAGAACCAAATATGTAATATGTGACCTTAATTCAGGCAATCAAATGCCCTTAACTTATTTTTGGACTATGATTCCCATCAGCCACAAGCAATGGACAGAGGAGCTGTATTTCAAGACATCCATCTATAATTGCTGATATGCAGTGATCAGAGTTAATCCCCTTCCTTTCATTTTATTTTTAGTTTCTTATTTCTTTTATCCCAAGCATCCTGTCACTGTGTCATGGATAAGGGAACAATGTTTGTTGCTGGTGAAAAGAGGCAAGATAGAGTTGAAGAAAAGAAGGCAGGGTGCAACAACTGATCACTCCAAGGAAAATTGTGCTAGGAAGAGTAAATATACAATTTACAAAGAGCTAGCATATTAAAAGAGAGAGGGAAGGGAAATGCTTTCAATATGGCCTTCCTGCTGGTCAGGGTTGAGAATGAACTTTGCTACTTAAAAATAATTCTCTGCTTGCGTCATATAGCGGGGAAACACTCTGCATTAAAAAATACAATAAATATATAAAATCATGGGACACAGGGGGTGGGTCTGCCTATTCCTGTTTGAAGTTACAGATGCTATCCAAAAGGTATCTGCAGAATTTATCAGTCATGTTCCCTTCTGCATTAAAGTTATATCCAAACTGCGCCAGAAAAGTGTTGAAAGTTTTATTTATCAATATCAAAATATTGTCATTTGATTGGGGGAAATTTGCAGTTAAAAATATAACTGGAAGGCTTCTGGATTCCCCTTAGCATAAGGGTAATCACACATTAGTGTTCTACCAATTGATTTTCTGGAAAACCTAAAATAATGAACAAGTTGAAACTTGGAAGTGAGGCTTCCTGGATTGTACAGTTTGTCCATACATTCTAAATTTCAAGCTAAATCATTTGGCCAAGGGCTGTAAAAAGAGACTTTATTGTTAAAAGCACTTCTGAGCTCACTTCTGAAAAGAAGGCTTGCTAAGCCTGCTTTGGGTAATTTTTCTACAACTGTCCATGCTAACTTGATACCCAAGTAAGTCTATATAGTCCACTACTTACCTAGAGCACATTCTGGAAGCAATGTACACTTATCAAGTGGTTACACAGAATCACTTTCTTTTAGAAGGGAGACAACTTGGTCAGATTTTCTTAACTAACAGTTTTTGCCATGGACTCATCAGTAGTATCTTTACATAGAAACTGATATTTGAGTTCCCAAGGAAGGATCTTTTTCTCCAACTGCATGTTGCACATATTTGTGTGAAATAGATATTTATGTTATTTACTGAGAGTATTAATGGATCTTGTAAGAAGTCAAGCTTGAATGAAATTACTGTGAAGTCGCTTTAATCTAAAAGAGAAACTAATCTGGAACTAGTTAAATAAATTTACTGAGGCCCAATTTGCTAATCTCAGTATCTATAAAAATACTGATACAGATACTCTCTGTAAAGAAGGATTTGAGAACTTGTGGACCTCCAGATGTTGCTGAATTCTCAGGACCCCTAGGTTGCCTGGCAAATTATAGAAATGCTAAGGCTCATATTTAAGCGGGAGCTGAACTTCCTCGTCCCACCTTTTAAAATTTCATCTCCCAAGGGTTCAGATTTATATTCACCCATGTTCAACAATACCAGTCTCAGTGATTCCAAAAGTTCACAGACCCTTGCCTTTGGCATTTGAAAAGCATCCAATGGTTTAACTTCAATACCATGTATTACTGGTTTAACACAAGTTCTACATTTTTTAGCATAGGAATATCATGACTAGAAATAAAGTATTGTCTATCTGTAGCTCTAGTTAATATAGAAAAGACAGAATGTTAATTGTATTGGGTATCCATAATTTTATTATGTATTAGATTTTATCAGCTTTCTTTCCCTTTTTTGTAGCCTCCAGGAGGTGTTCCTGGTACACAGCCATTGCTGCCCAACTCCATGGACCCTACACGACAACAAGGTAACAGATGTTGAGGCTGCCTTCAGAAGTTTCCTCACAGGGCTTTTGCGTCTACTCCCTTGTTTACTTCTCTGTAATATTGTGTAACTTCTTCCCGTCTCTTCTCTCACTAGGGCATCCCAACATGGGTGGGCCAATGCAAAGGATGAATCCTCCTCGAGGCATGGGACCTATGGGCCCAGGTCCACAGGTAAAACCTGGGCAGACCACTTCCTATCCTGTCCAGTGCCAAGCGTTACGCATGCTACTTTGTGAAGTTAGTAAGCAAAACATCATAAAAGCAGCCTCCAGGGGCACTTCCATTCCTTCCAAGCCCTTTTCTCTCTACCATTAGCGGTAATGCATTTTACATTAGTGTGTTTACATATGTCTGGAAAAATCCCACCTTCCAACGTCTAGTTAGGACTTCAAAAATGAACATTCTCCTATCACGTACTTCATATACCCACCTATTCCCTACCTTCTGTTTTTGCTTTTTAGTCTAGGCAAACTTCTATTTCAATGGAATTTTCCCACTCAGGAATGATAATCTTGGTGCAAAGTGGGAAGAGAAGAGGCTGCAGATAGAATGCTGTGTGTATTTCAGTGAATCAATGTTAATAATTAAATTTGCTGCAGTCTCGTCTGTTTTGATTTACCTCGTTCTTTATAGCAGGGGCAGACACATAGACCCCACTCAGCAAGCTTTTCCCTAGCTGCCTTTTTAAAAAAAAAATCACATACTTCACCTTTGCTACATTCTAGACAAGAAATGCAGCAAGACAAAGGAAGAGTAGGTGGATTGAAACAATACTTGTCGTAACCAAATCACTCTTAAGTTCTGGTTTCTAGAGTCCTGATTATGTTTAAACCTCAAGAAACTAGATAGGTTTCTAAGCTGCCTACAGAGCTCTTATCTGGAGATAAAAAATTATACTATGGTATATTTATTTGGGCCCCCAGGATTCTGTTAGGGATAATTAACTAGGCCAACAGTTTTCAAATCCGTAAGACAAACTTTCAGAGGTTAAAATCATTTGGTGAAGAGAGGTGAAAGTCATCTTCTCCCAGAGTCCACTTTTGCTTGGCCCTTGGCTGTACCAAGTGATTGAGAAGTCTGTTATTTATTGTTGTCTTATGAGAATGATGCAAAACTCTTCTTTCATAGGCTTGCTCTCTCTTGCCATCTTTTTGTTCTTTTAGTTTCTTCCTGCAATCTGCCAAACTGAAGCATCTGTCTTTTCCTTGCCATGTTACGTTTTCAGACAGGTTTTTCTTTGGTTTAGGTAGTTACAGACTGTCATTCCTTACTGCAGTGTGTATCTACGCATTTGGGAAAACTGTCAAGGTGAAGTCTTTCTGTAGCATTCAGTTAGGGGATTACAAGAATTTTACAGCCATATTTATCTTCTCCTGCACTCCAGCCAGGGGCAGAGGCATGCTAAAATCATCCTCACTGCATAGGCTGGGGGCAAGAGATGTCCAGCTTCCAAACATGGTTACATGTGCACTGCAGTACATAGTTGCCCATCAACACCATTGCCGAGGAACATTTAAGGATGCTTCGAGATAGAGGACTCAGTGCTACCAATCAAAATACACGTTGCTACTGTTACACTATTTTGGGTTTTGTGTGTGAGGAAAAAATATGAAAGAAGCAATGGGGAGTTAAAAGTGGAAGATGACATCACTCTAATGAAGCATTGTAATAAGTCACCTTCAATTGGAAGTACCCTTTCTTCTGAGCTCTGCTTTGAATAGTTCACTATTGCACTCAGCTAAAATGTTTTTTTGCTTGCCTGTTTTTTTGCTTAGTATGTTAAAGATCTTATTCATTGTGACTTTTATTATTATTCCCATCTTTCTTATATATAACATGTTTTCTAAACTCACCAACGTTTATCTTGTTGAATCATCAAAGCTTACCACTGTATGTGAATTCAGTCATATCTAAATTCAGATATGGAGGGACAACAATATGCTGCCCCTTTGTACACCCTTTCCTTGCCTCTCATGATAGTTCCCTAGTTCACTTCGCGGTTTGCTGCCTCACTTGAATCTTTGAAACTGGTTTTGCTAAAATAGTGCTAAGCACAATTTGAACAGTTTAGTTATCACAGCGAATTACAGTGAGAGCAGCCTGGAAATAGAAAAGAAACAATATGCTTGTGTTCCTCTAAGCAGGAACCACCTATAAGCAGCCAAGCACAGAATGCCTCCCTGAAAATGAGCGTATAAAAGAGTATCCATTTGCTAAGGAAAGTTGGCTAATAGCCTTTGGAAAATTATTTTTGTTAATCCTTTCCAGCAAATTTGATATTGTAATCTTGTAAAGTGTTGGATAGCATCTTAGAAGGAAAATGTGTAAAAATACATGTTGGTTTCTTGCTACAAATTGTATGCATCAACTAATATCCTGTGATATTCCTTGTATTTGCTGCAGCAGCAAAAGTACTGAGCATCACAAACTCCCTGAACATTTTGCTTTTCTTGATTCAATCAGACCTGCACTCATGGCCCTACTACTTCTACCCAAATAAACAGAATATGCAAGTATAAGAAAGAGGGCACTCACACAGGCCAATTATTGTCAGGGGAAGACTAGTGATAACTAGATAGGCAAAGACAGAAGTGTATCTTGATTTGGAGAAGGAGGCAGATAAATGGGTTTAGATGGGTTTATGAGCACATTTGCTCTGAAATCTTCTAAGTCTTATTTTTGCAGTGATTTGGGTAAAATAATTAGGATAGGTGCCCTATGAGTGCATATGTAAATCTTCTGCATCAATTCTGGTTATGAAAACAGAGCATGTGAATCTATTTTGGGAAGTATATCGTGAAGAAAAAGTATGTGAACAATACTGGTGCCCAGTAAAGAATGAGAAGCTACTGAAGTCACATACCTCCAGGAAAGAGAAAAAGGGGATTCCTTTGATTCTTCTATTTCCCCAGAAGGTGACATTTCCAAGCAAACCTAGATTCTGGGTGCTCTTTTGTCTGATTTAATGGTCTGGAACTCTTAGTGACCTCAAAGCTCTTAATAATCCCTCATAGACAATCATAAAAGTTTGCATTTCTTATAATTGCACCAGCCAAACAAAGACTACCTCATGAAAGGTTCTGGATTCACTGCATATCTCGAGCGAACCAGGTGCTGCTCATCAAGATGAAACTGCATATTAGCTGTAGCGTTATTTCGTATTTTTGGAGCTGTAGGCATGTCATTTAGCCATCGTCAGTAGCAAGTGTGATTGCACCATATCTTTATGAAGCCTTGTGTGAATGTTAGAGAAAAGCTTTCTACCTGTAATGTGCTTTTCCATGTATGTGCTATGAATGAGGAGCTGGGAGCAAATCCTTTTCTTCCTGGTTGCAGTTGCTCCACTTTGTGAGTAGTGTAAGTCTCTGTTCCAGCCAGCAAAAGATAAAATGTTGAGGAAAAAGTTGTCCCCCCCCCCCCCCCTTACTATCAAGTGGAGGCGATAATGGATTGTTAGATGGGGATTTTTTTTTTCCATTTAATATTTCAGCCAAGCAGTCTGTTTGCCTCTCAGGAATATAGATTGTGTTTTACCTCCTAATTGTAAGTATAGCTGTGGTTGTGGCTTCATTTGGTTAGGACAACTTGATGGGGAAAATGCCCCAATTGGTAATTGGCAACCTGTGCAGATCTTTCAGTACATGTATCGTGCAATCCCTGCCTTTGCATCAGCAGGTTAGCTGGCTTATTCTGTAGCATTTGCAATTTCTGCATAGAGAACTTTGCAATGGGTGAGATATAATAGTCAGCCAAGGAGCAGGAGTGAGGAGTTGACTCATACCTCATTTTCTGTACTTCAACCATGACTGCCTTTTCATTGCTGCTTCTTAAACAGTAGTCTTGCATGTTACCCACAAACACGATAGATTTGCTCCCTTTTCTTTTTTAGACCCATTTTCAAAGCAAACTGGATAGAGTGCTGTTACACCTAACTTGCATTGATTTTCTTTGAAGACAGATATCTGGAAGATTGGAATGAGTAGACATTTGGATATGCAGAAGTGAATTTAAATAGGGCCGCTCTAACATTTAAGTTTTAAATGCCCTAATTTTAAGATTTTTAATAGTGATATTAATAGATGCATAATGTCATTTCTCTGGCCTGAAAGTTCCTTTATGTCTTTCATGATTGTCATATTTTAATAAATAAAATAAAAGGTGAGAGAGAGCCACCTTGGTCTAGTGGTGAAGGCACCAGGCTAGAGAGCAGGAGACTCTGAGCTCTAGTCCCGCCTTAGGCATGAAAGACAGCTGGATAACCCTGGGCCAGTCACTCTCTCTCAGCCCAAATCACCTCACAGGGTTGTTGTTCTGGGGGAAAATAGGAGGAGGAAGGAGTATTAGGTATGTTCACTGCCTTGAGTTATTTATAAAAATAATATAGGCGGGATTTAAAAAATCTTTAAAAAAAGGTACTGTATGCAGTTGACACTCCTTGCTCAGCATTGTTCTTTGTTACTGTTGTTGAAGACAGCCTTCTGGGAGAAAGGAATGCTCTTTCTTTACAAATCTGCTACACACTTTAGTGCTGTCAACATCTCCTCTTGGGCAAACCCCATTGCTTGCTCATTACCCTGTATTTCCTAAAGCAGAATTAATCTCTCTCTTTGTCTGTCTCTCACCCCCCCCCTCTCATGTTCTGCTCCTTCACATCAGTCTCTCCACAACCCGTCACCCCACCCCAAGCACGTAATCTAATTATTTTACATCTCCTACATGTTTGGATTCATGTGTAAGGAACAAACTACATTTGGTTTGTTTGTTTTTGGTTTGAATTACTTTCTTAGATCTTACATATTTTCCAGGTGAGGTTACTCCCTTGTTGATACACCTTGGGCATTGCCAGAAGCTTTTGCCCAGTGGGCGTTCCTAGTATATTTTCTACTAAAAGATGGAAACTTGGTAGCTTTTCAGATTTTTAAAAAATCTTTTCCAGACAAACAGCAAAATGAGAGTTGCCGCAGCCCTGTTTTACTTTTTGAAGTTGCTAAGTTTACCTGTATGTTCATTGTCATCATCTTTTTTTTTTAATTAAAGTTCATTTTCACAAACTAACCCTCTCGTTTTTGTTTGTTTTTTTTCCTTTCTCTTTTCTTCTCCGGTTTCCCTTCTCGTTATGGTAGACTGATCCTTGGTTATCATTGCAGAACTATGGCGGCGGAATGAGACCTCCACCCAACTCTCTAGGGCCTGGCATGCCTGGGATTAACATGTAAGGCATTTCTGATGCTCCTGGCTTTTCATTGATGTGCCTTTCATTTGATGTGGAAATGAATGTCGTTTTACTCTCTGCTTAGGCTTGAGTAAACATGTGTGTGCTAAAGGCTTGTTTCTTTTCTTGAACTCCAGGGGTCCAGGAGCTGGTAGACCATGGCCCAACCCCAACAGCGCTAACTCAGTAAGTGTTCTTCTGTGGAATGCCTTTATCCTCTATCACTTGGACCTTGGAATTTAATTTCCCATAGTGCTACCTAATTCTTCTTCCTGCATCCCCCTTTAAATATATGCTGCATCCCTTGCTCTCTCTTCCCAGTGGGGCGTCATCCTGAGCTGGAGACATGGGATATCCTCCATTTCCTGATGTGCAGCTGTCCTATCCTTTAAGCATATTTAAAATATATGATCTGAATAGATCTGAACCCCTCCCTTGTCAAAAGGTCCCTCTGGAAAAAGTAATGCGTGCACTTTGTTTTGTTCGCAGATTCCATATTCTTCTTCATCACCTGGTACATATGTGGTAAGTTCATATTTTCTAATTAATTGATTAAACAAATGTACGTGGCCACCCATCTAATCAGCAGGCAGTGAACAAAGATAATAATACATAATCCAGATCAATTGAAAAACCAAGTCAAGCCCCTATTAAAATTTTTTATCACCAACATGTCACACACACAAACACCAGAGATCCATTAACATCACAGCACCAGCCCCTGGGGGAAAAGCCAGGTCTTTGTGGTCTTCCGGAAGGCCAGCAGGGTCCGAACTCTGGGGGGATCTGTTCCATAAGACAGGCGCCATGACAGAGGAGACACGCTTCCTACATCTGCCAGGTGACACTGTTTCACTGAGGGACCCAGGGCATGTCCATTCTGTCAGATCTGGCGGGACAGGCCAAGATAACTGGGAATAGGAAGTCTCGCAAATAACCTAGCCCCATGTCATGAAGTGGCAGTACGTTTGATGACTAGCTATAGGGATACTTGTATTCACAAATATGCAGCCTAGATTATGGTTAGGTTATAAGTATTCATGCTGTTGCATTGTTTGCCCTCCTGAGGGGTGATGCACACATCTGTATAATGTGTGAGCCACAGATAGAGTTGGGGAAAACATTTCTTCCTCCAGGAAGCATGGTGCATAAAGCATGTTGAAAGAGAAGATGCTGATTAGCATAAGGTGAAGAGAAAGTTGCTTTTCCAGTCAGCATGCCCCTAAAGTATGGAAAGAAATAACTTTGTTAACCTCCAGCATTATGAATGATGCAGTGCTTATGATGCTCCAGTTTTAGTTTATCTTAGAGTGGTTGCAGTCAGAATTATTAGCAGCTGTGTTCTTAATTGGGCTGGAATCAGACCATCAAATTAACACATTTGCACAGCAAGTGTACGGTGTTCTAAACTACTCGCTTATCATTGCAACTTCTGCAGATGAGAAGGTTACAGAAAGGATTGCCCCCTTCTACTGTTCCTTTCCTGACAGATAGACTTAAGTATGTGCATCTTGCATAGAAGCACCCTTCCTATCTCTCGGTAAAACCTTCATTTTTCCTGAGGCTTAAAGAAATTGCACTTTGGCTACAAGGGTGCATCAAAGGTTTTAGCAAGAGATTAATGCTTGGCTGAATACCAAGGTGAGACATTGTTGCTGACAGCAGCAGGATCTGGCTGACCTATTGCAGGCTATGTTATCACAGTGGTTCCTGATGCGTATTTAATCTTGTCAACAGGGGCCCCCTGGTGGCGGAGGTCCTCCTGGAACACCCATCATGCCTAGCCCTGCAGGTAAGGGGCGGGGGAGAACAGGGGAAAGGCAGTGTGGAATAGATGGATTGTTTCTTTCATTGTTGGCCTTGATGGGAAGTGACAACATAACAATTTGCATGCTGCTGATGCCCTGTTTGCTTTGGAACAGCTGCACGCAATCCATAATCAAAGGAAGAGAATGTTGCCGTCAGTTCTTCCTTCTTTCCTTCTTTCCTTCCTTCTCTCGCTCCAGCCCGGCACGGATGGCTTGGGTTCTGTCAGGCTTAAAGCATGGGGGAGCTGTCCAATAGGAATTAGACAAATGGAGGTAGGGGAGGGTTCACCTGTGCCACAGCCTTTCTGCATTTGTCTGAAGACAGTTTGCAGTCAGCGTCAAGTTCCTGGCAAGCAGGGTGAAAGATAGTGCTGCTTCCCTTGATGAATAATTTTTAATAAATTTTGACATATTAGAATAGGCTTATGTCAACTTTTTTTTTCATCCTGGGGAAACATTTTATCCAAGGTAAAACATGTCTGGGTGATTTGTAGAAACTAACTTAAATCTTTCTCTGCAGATCCCAAAGGAATTAGAGGAAAAATGTAAAATAAACCGTATTAAGCTCCCTAAATCCAATATGGTTGAGGCTGTAATATTCCCCTTTTATGGGCTTTCCCAGTACTAGAGCTAATGTCTACAGAGAAGTGTTTTGTAGCCAGGAATGCATCATCCTGCTGTCAGTTTCACACTACAGAGGGTGTACGGCAGTTTCTGAATGCCACTTTGCACAATGGTGTTCCCCAAGTTGAGTGCTCTTCCTCTTCACGTGTCTCCCCAGAAGGCTGTGTGAAATTCCTTCCTGGCCTTTGGTTCCCTTACAGTAAAGGGAGGAGAAGGGAATGTGTTTGTGGTGAATATTCTGAGAGGACTGAAGTTTGATTTAGTACACATCGTGAGCGTCAGTTGGAAGAAGAAAGGGTAGAAGGGGACACTCGGAGGAGGTAGCCCTGTTGCATGTAACGGGTGCACAACAGCTGCAGAGGTGGAGCTACTCTGAAATATTACCACTGCTTTCCTGCTCCTGCATTTTTATGAGAACTCTGACCTACATTTCTTACTAGATCGTAATAAAACAATCCATATGTTAATTCAGGCACAAATCTTCCCTCCTTTTTTTATTCTGTTAATGTGGCCTGCTTATAAATCTTTGTGTTTGTATTCTACAGCTTGACTATGTCTTTCTTCCTGTTACAAACACTAAAAATCTAGGTTCTTGCTTTATTGGGGAAAATAATACATAAAATGATAAATATTACTCCTCTTTCAAAAAGAAGAAAAAAGATGATGGTGTAGTGAGGTAATTGCGCTGGCTAATTTTGAGGCGCTAAGTGACACATGGCAGAAAATTATCTTCATCTCTCGTAGCAAGAAAGCTTCAAGATCTTTGGTTAGTAGCAGACTTCTTTTCACAGTTGAATTTCTGTGATTAAAAACTTTGTGAATCTTCATTAAATACAAATTAGCCAGAAAATGGTGGTACTTAGAGAGAATTTTAGGTGATAAAACTCGAAAGAATGAGTTCAAGTGGCATGAGTTTGTTTTAATTAAGAAATGAATTAATCACCCTGACTTAGTGGGTTTCACTGTTCTACAGATTCGACAAATTCAAGTGACAACATCTACACAATGATTAATCCTGTACCGCCTGGAGGCAGTCGGTCGAATGTAAGTCTGCTTTCTAATAATTTACATATCAGATACCATAACAAATCATAATTAACTTCATCAGTTGAGGGTAAAGCAGTTTAATTGATTCCAGCCATTTGTTACAAAATAGAAATAAAACAAACCATTAAAAAGTAATTAACTCTTCAGGACTTTGTTAATTTTTTATGCTTATTAAAATAGTAGCATTCATGTGGTTCTGGTCAAGACCATCACATGTATTGCTGAGAGTGGGCTGTTTTTAAAGGGAACACAGCTTGAACCCTAGTCCGTCTTGCACATTTAGTTAAAACTAATTACCAGGGGTTGTTCTGAAGATTTCCTCCTAGATTTTTAGAAAGTATATGCAGTTGCTCTACTCTCTCTTCAAGGCAGTGATCATTTCAGCTTTGAGAGAGCCTTTGAGTTAGAGTTTCTTTCAAAGTTTAGGTAGCTGTCTGGTAGAGATAGAATAAGATCCAATATATTAAAAATCAGGGTGTTTTACCACATTTCAAACTGATGGAATTTGGTACAACTAATTGTTCTTTCTTTGAAGCTATCAGATTTGGAACTTTTTCCTAGTAACAAACTTCAGAAAACGTGGTTTGCAGAGCATATTAGCATTCTGAACATTATAGCCATTAGTATTTAAGGTAATCAATTAGGTGATATTTCACCATGCAAATGATCTATCGTAACTGATGCATTCTTTTTTCCCCCTCAGTTCCCAATGGGGCCTGGATCAGATGGCCCAATGGGAGGCATGGGTGGGATGGAGCCCCATCACATGAATGGCTCATTAGGTAAGCTGAACAAAAAATATTCAGGGCAAAGTCATGCAGGATTCTATCTTTTAATAGAAGTTGCTTCTATGGGGATTTCTGATCAGGTAATCAGTGGATCGGGTTACGTATGTTACAAGGAGGCTGAATCATTCCAAAGTCAGAGTGAGTGGTGGGAACCTAGGAGAGAAGGCCTTGTAGTTGGGCATTGTGCAGAATGTAGAGATGGAGAATTAGGTGTAGCCTCAGCCAGTTTCAGGCTTCAAGAAGGCCTCTCCAGGAGACAGACTTTTATTCTAGTAGCCCTTCTGCTCTAGCAGGCCGCTTCCTTCCGTAGTTCCTCACCCCAACATGCTTCCTTGCTTTTTTGTTTTCCCCCTCCCCACCCATCCCCAGCCTAACCCAGCAACATGGGCATCAGACCACTGCCATTTTATTTTTCCTTGATACCACTTACTATCCTATAGCATCACATAGGGGTATTGCAGGAAATGTTTAAAAGGCCCAACAGGCATAAATGTGCCATGGGACTAGCATTCATTACGTTGGTAGCACCTTTACCCTGATATTCTACAAATTTCTGCAGCTGATGCTCTCTGATATCAGAACCTATAGGACTTTCTCACTGGTAAATGGATGGCTTTGGTTTTTCTGTTCCTTGTTTTTCTGGGGAGAATTCCTCCCTGTTTCCAGAAGTGACTAGCTCTGTGTTCGTAATCAGCAAACCCAATGTCCTTGCCATTCTTAAACACTCACAGCGTAGAAAATTAGCCAGAAAACAGGAACTGCTAGTCCCAGGCTGGCGGGACTCCTGTTGATAGGTTCATGCTGCTGCTTCTCTGTTATCTATCTGTGGTGTGTGTGTTTTAATTAAAGCGGCAGAAAGACCCATTAACCTCCTATGCTTGCCTTATACATCTTGCTGAGGTAGAGGTGCTGTACTCCATCTTGATCAGTGTCACAAAGCTCACAGGAGGGAGCTGAGGCCGTAGCAACTCGATTAGGCCATTACTCTAGTGCTGTGCAGGAAGGTGAGCTGGGCTCTGCTCCCGGGAGTTATCCATGCAAAGGAATGGCAGCTGAGGCTTCCCCCAGCATGTCCCTTTCTGGAGGCAAATGTTAAGAGGTTTGCATTAGCCCAGCTGTGACCTGCAACTCACTAATGTACTGCCAGCTGCTTCCCAGAAGGCCAGCCCTACATCTTGCAGCAGCCTCTTATTTTCTGCATGTAGGTTCATGATCTAAATGCTTCAGTACTAGTTAGGGGAAATGTTGATTTAGAAGAGGGAAGTGAAGTCCTTTCTACTAACAGCCTGCCTTTCTCTTCCTCTCCATCCCCCCATCCCCATCTTCTTTCACAAGGGTCAGGAGACATTGATGGACTTCCAAAAGTAAGTCAGTATTTTGCTAATATAATTAGGTAGGGGCTTCTTACTGTTTTGGTATTTAATGGGGTAAAGTGGGGAAGCCCAAATTTATTTGTTTGCTGGAGGTTTAGCAGGCTTCTCCTCTTGACTTAGCAGATGAGAACCCTTATGCTCTCAACTCTTCAAGTCCTAAAGTGCAGTGCAGTACTTTCCTTCTGTGCCCAAGCTTCATATTTAGCTGTATTTTGCTCATCCAAGAATAATGTATTTTCTTATAGTTGCTTGTGTACACATCGCTGAAAGACACTCTCTCACTTTCAGTGTGTATGTGTATGGCCTGTGCGTTTCCTCCCCTCCCTTTTCTTTTTAATTGTAGAATTCTCCAAACAACATAAGTGGCATTAGCAATCCTCCGGGCACTCCACGAGATGATGGTGAACTGGGAGGCAACTTCCTCCATTCCTTCCAAAATGACAACGTGAGTCATTCTTACACTCGCTCTTTACGCTCATTGAGCTTGAATCTCAGAGCTTTTCAAGGCTCTTGGAATCTCTTCCTGGGGAAGAATGGTTTATAAGTGTGGAATATGATGGTTGATAGCATGAGGGTGCTCTTGGAGCAGCAGGTGAAAATGCTATGGGGAAAAAAAATCAAGGAAGTATAACATGGGGGCTGATAGAACTGGGAAAAGATCCCAGAGTAAGGTGTTCAATATGATACTGGGATGTAGCATACCTTCTATACAAGAGGAGGATAAATGGTTCCAAAAGGAGACAATGGAAACTCTAAGTCATTTAAAAGAAATAAGGAAATGTAGACAATTCCTTTGAAGCAATATTAGAGCCAGAGGGCAAACAGAAAAGAAATGTGTGTGGCTCTCAGCGTGTGTACTGTATATGCATGACAGAGAGAGACTGTTGCCTGACAACTTCTGGATAGATTTTATGTTGACTATAGAGGCCCTTTCAATGTAGGAAAAGCATTGCCATTATTATTAATCATAAATTGCAGCATCTGCATCCTTTTTTTTTTTTTTTTTACAAAGTAACATAAATCAATGATAAGTCCTATCATGAGGAACTTAGAATCAAATTTTTGATGAGAACGCTAGAAGAAGTAGGACAGAACGACTGTTATATCTTCTTGAATGGATGGACATGTTGAAAATCATCCCTGATAGTAGAAGCAGTAAAGATACAGTTAGTATATAGACTTAAGGCCACAGTTGGGACCGGAACGTCTGTCGCTAAGTGATGCAGTTGTTAAGTGAGTCGTGCCTGATTTTACAACCTTTTTTGCTATGGTTGTTAAGCGAATCTGGCTTCTCCCATTGACTTTGCTTGTGGAAGCCCCATTGGAAGGTCACAGATGGCAATCATATGACCCCAGGGCACTACAACTGTTGTAAATACATGCTGGTTGCCAAGCACCCAAATTTTGATCACATGACCATGGGGACGCTGCAGTGGTCATAAGTGCAAGGACTGGTCGTAAGTCACTTTTTCAGCACCATCATAACTTTGAATGGTCTTTAAATGAATAGTTGTAAGTCAAGGACTATCTGTACTTAATTTAAGTGAAGTTGGTTCTGCCAATGGTGCTAATATGAAATAGAACATAAATGCAAGAAAGGGATGCTGGTCAACAACCATAGCAAACTTTAATTAAGAAAAAGAAATAGCTTCAAGATTAGCATAGTTTGTTTCATGCAAAAATATATAAGATAAAGTTTAAAAGTATTATTTGTATTTTTACTTGAGAGTCTTTATCACTGTGTACATGTGAGAACAGAAATAGTAAAAACAACGACACTTGTTTTCTACCACATGGGTATCCACCTACCACCGTCATTGTTGGCCAATAGGAGATCAAGTTTGGGAATGTTTATGTTCCAAACAATTAGCCTTTATTGTATTTTCTCTGTGATTTCTTGAAGCCAGTTAGGAAGTTTTATTGTTTTGGTAAGCCCATGTCTCTTTCCCCATTTTCTCACCTAGCATATTAGTTAGCATTTTGGTCTCATTTTTGCCTCCTCCTTACTCCGGTTTTCTTTCTTTCTCTCTCTCCCCCTTCCCCTCCTCACCCAGTATTCTCCCAGCATGACAATGAGTGTGTGATTTCCCTCTTCCCTCACCCCACATCCTCTTCTCCAGGATAAAGAAAAAGTCGGCTGCCCTTTGGAGGATCTCAAGAAATTATGCAAGAAGAGAAGCTAGGTGTGTTTGGCAGGGAGACATTCAGAGCCGGGGATCCAGCCCTAATTTTTAGTTTCATGCAATAAAAAGGCTGAACTTTTTATTCCATAAAACAATGAAGGACAAATCTTTAAAATATTTCAAGACATGACAAGATCCTTCTTCTGCAGAAGGATTTATTATATGTATATGACACTTATTTTGTTGTTCATTTTTTGGAAACAAACGGAAGCCTCTAGCACCCAATTCCAGCCTCCTTTGCTTGATTATTCTTTTAAACCTCTTGTATGTTTGTGCTGTGCTACGCAAGGAAGCTAGTCTAGATATGAAATCTCATGTTGTCTCTGTAGCCATTAAAAAATAATAATAAAACTGGACAGTTTTTTATAAATTGGTGGGTTTTGTTCAGAAGACCTTTCCCCCTACTTCCCCTCCCCTTGGTGTCTTGCAGCACAACACTTCCTTCAGCAAGAAGATCTGAGTGGAAAAGATTTCCCCTGCCTCAGTTGTAATGCAGCTGGCTCCCTTGTAGGATCACATCCTCCAAAAGTTTAATTGTGATCTTGGGTATATCTGTGACTGTGGCATGCACTGTTTTAGCCCCCTTGCTTGTCTTTCTCCCAGAAATACTGTTATGAATTGCCCTTTTGCAGAACTTGGAAAATGTCAGAATTCCTGGGGGGGGGCGGTATTGAGGGTTAGGTTACTTGGGATTTTTTTTAAGTTGGGATGGTGTCGGTCTACCAGAAATAAAAAGAAAAGGCATTAAAAACTTGACCTAGGACTCAAAAACTGTGAGTGCAAACTTCTTAACATCTGCTTTGTTTTCATTTTTGTTTTGGGTTTGGGTTTTCTAATGAAATGATGTGATCTTACTAGGGTTTCACTGTATATGCTCTGGAACTGGATGGAGATATTTTTAAGTAATTATTGTTGTTAAACTGTATACTTGCTATTCTGTAGGCTCTCTCTCCCTCCCTCCTCCTCACTCTGTAATTAAAAACAGAATTAAAAAAAAAAATTAAATCTTACCTTCTCGTGGTAGAGGTGACTACAGAAAAGCATATCATGTATAGTGAAACTCGCAAGTCTTGAGATCTCTGTACATTACACTCCCTTGTAGCTGGTCTTTGTTTTATATAAAAGAAAAAAAAAACCTTCACTTCTGATCTATGTATTTCATATTATGTAAAATATTATCTTCCCCTGGATTTACCTACCTTTGTGCGGATTCTTGAGAACATTGTATCTTGTTTCAGTGTTTTTTCTTACCTTGTAGTCTGGTTCTAAAATTAAGCGAGGGAAAAGAAAAGTAATTATTATACATTGTAGTTTGTGTACGATATTTGTTGATAATGTTTTATTAAAGGGATGTCGTTTTTCCGCACCCCTTAATGACATTTTTTTTTTTTTACTTTTGCTTTTGTTTGGGGTTTTTTTTTTTTTTTGGTTTCTTTTTCTGTTTCTGTTCTGTTTTGTTTTGTTTTGGAAAACATTGGCTTGTTTTTATTCTAACTCTTGAAAAACAACTACTTGAAACCATGTAATTTTTAAGAAGACAATGGTTTTTTAAAAAAGAAATGCTTGCCCTTTTCTTAGGCATTTTAATTATGTTTTTTCTGTAGAAAGATGATGGGGATCGGGGTGGGCAAATGAACATTCTCACAGTTACAGTCAGGATTATATTTAAAGAAAAAAAAAATAAACCTTCAAATGAAGATTTGTCCCATTCCTAATGCAACAATTTTTTTAAAGAGATAACTGGCAAGTTTCATTGTATTAAAGTGATGGCTAAATTATTGTCTTCGTTGATTTGGGATGGTTTTTAAAAGATGAGTCAAGATCTTTTCTCTTTTCCCCCATGCTGTAATAAATATAAACAGTTGATTCCACGTCCTTGCTGTTCATTATTCTCTCCTGGCTACAGAGATTCCAGAAACGCTGGCAAGGAAAGCCACCTCCTTCTGATTATGGATCTCTTTGAAGCCACTACGTTTTGAAGATGCACTTCATTCCTATCACAAACATTGTGAGTGGGCTAGATTTAGGACCCGTTTTCACATTCCTTTCAAACAGCCTCAGAATCAAGTAAAATGCCTTCTCAACACTAAAGTACGACACATCCGGCAAGAACAACCATTTTCTTTTAAAAACAAGAGCAGAAATTGAATTCACCACCATATAGAACTTAGCACAGCTTGCCCAGAATATCCTGTTTAAAAAACAAAGAAAAACTTGATGATTCTGTAAAATAGACCTGTGAGTCCTGGCAGGAATTCACAGAACATCAAAATGAATATTGCAATGGTTACTGCTCAGAAACCTTACTATTTCAGTTTAAAATACATAGTAAATCAGATGTTTGTATAAATACCATTATACAAAAGCAATACAAAACTATTGTTTTTTGGTCTTTTGTAGGGGAGTTAAAGAATAGGTTATTCCAACAACATCTGTTCTATTGGTATCTTCCAAAGATAGCTTCAGAGTAAATCCAGCTTAGTTGCGTGTGCTCCCATAGTAGTTACTTCCTCATAGCAATCTTTAGCTAACTTGCTTAAAGTGCAAAAAGGCTACTAAAAATGATGAATCAGAGTCACTTCCATGTCCATGTGGAGTGTGATAGTGTAACAATATAACAAATGGATACATCTCATTGCAGCTTGCCACCTAGAGACTGAGCTTGGCATGGTCTGTAGGACTCCCATTAATAGCTTGAATTGTTCACTGGTAAACAAGTACATTCTTATCCAGGGATTGTCACACAATATTCAATGTAACTTTTAAATATTATTTGACATTATTTTGGTCCTACTGCTTCCACATTAGAGTCCAGTTAGGCACTAGCAGTGTTGGAAGTGTACAACTGGTCATGTCTAATAACACTAGAACACATTATAAGCAGCTGATGAATAGCCAGCTCAGAATAGTTGTTCTGGGCAGGTTGATAATTTCAGTGCATTTCCTTCTTTCTGGTCTTTGAGTGTAAGAAACCTAGAATGAATTGAAGTATCCCAAAGTATTTTCACATGTACAAAGATCTTGTCTCTTTTGCATGCAACAGAAACACCTATGCAAATTCGGAGACAAGTCCTACTCATAGTCTGTATTTTAACTCTTTTTTCCTATAGATCATATAGTTTGGGATATTAAAATGAATCAGAAGTATCCATTGCGCTCAGTCAAAATTTGAACTAGACATTGTTACCTGTTGTGCAAAACATTGGAATATTTGGGGGGAGTGCATTATTTTCTGCTTCTATTAGGCATGGAGAAAGAATCTGGGAGAATCTTCTATGCTCCCATTTGCAAGATTTCATTGCACTATTTCAATTGTACAACTGCAAGACAATTTTTGTAATCTTAAAAAGCTCCATGTATCTTCCAAGGAAACCTACAAAAACCTTAAAATTCTGCAAAGTCTAAATACTATGCCTAGTTCCACTTCCGATATTTGTGTAGCTAGAATTGCAAACTTATATGTAATCTATCAAGATGGGAGAAAATAAGATGCATAATTTACGATCATATCGATTGCATTTTGCATTGCTATATATACACATACAGAGAATGAATAGTATATATTATCTATACCTGATTTATCTGCAGATAACATCAATGATCACTGTATTCCTGTCATTTGCTCATGAACAGAAGTTCCAAGTGCTGTATATGAAACTTGACTGTATGCTGTATTTTTGTAATGTGTTCCAAAGCTAGTTTTGAAAATCAGGGACGCTAGTTTTGAAAATCAACCTCAAGGACTGCCTGAGTAAGAAGGCAGTCGTACTGAGAACATGGGGTGGTTACAGTTATTATAATGATATTGCAATCAAGATATGTACTTTTTTGGGGCAGATTTTTCTCCTTGTATTTCAGGTCTGGAATAATTCCTATTTTGTAAATGCATGTGTCATCACTTTAAATGTGACTTTAGAAACAGAATTCTAAGACCCATAGAATAATCAGCTGAAAAAATAAAAATAAACGGGAGAAAATACACATACGTGCCCAATTTCCATCACGGATCAGCATCTTACATTAAAGGACTTAGAAAAGAAAAAAGTCTTCTTCTGGTACCCGACGAACCTCCCAGTCTAGCATACCTACGTTGCTGAACATCTTGACCAGCGAGATCAGTTTTGTCCTCTGCTTGCAATGTATGCCATTTGGTATCTGATTTCAGCACGTTCTTCTTTTGCAAGGCAAATGTTTTTTATATGGTAGAACTTTATTTCAGAATCCATTTCTCTGCAAGACTTTGTTCCTGTTTTATGCTGCTGTTTTTAACGGTGTTTTTTTTGTTTTTATTATGCACCATTGTGTATATGCCCTTCAGAGGGTTTTGTTTTGTTTTTGTGCCTTCAAGTCCTGCTGACTGCCTGGACAAGTTCCTGCAGTTTTCTTGGCAAGATTTCGGAAGTGGGCTGCCCTTGCCACCTTCTAGAGCTGAGAGAGAGTGACTGGCCCAAAATCACCCAGCTGGCTTGTGCCTAAGACAGGACTTGACCTCACAGTCTCCCTTCTAGTCTAGTGCCTTAACCTCTACACCAAACTGCCTGTCATTCTTCAGAGATAGAAATGGAATTATTTCAGCGTTGACCTGCTACTATTTCTTGCGATATCTGATGGTTTTCTGGAAAGGTAACTTGATGGTTTCTGCGTCTTTGGTGCACGCAAAACGCACAGCCCTGTGATCAGCTACAGCTATTAATGATGAACTAGTTTGCTGTCGTCCTGTTTTTTCTAGTTAAAAAATGCTGAGTTTTTTGAAGTTAGAGCAGTGTTTCTCAACCTTGGCAACTTGAAAATGTGTGGACTTCAACTCCCAGAATTC